CCTGTCCCCCAGGCAACCCCAGGTGGTTCTGCAGTGTGCCCCTAGGTAGAGGCGGGTTGAAGTCAGGCAGCCCTTGCGGGGCAGTGACCCACCAGCTGTCACCCATCCCCCCAGAACCTCATTACGTCAGTGGATGAGCTGCTGGAAGTCCCCAGTGACCTGGACGCCTTGGCCCTGCCTGAAAGGCACAAGATGGCCACCCACCTCCTCTCTGAGCTTGAAAGAGTCCTGAGGACCTTGGCCAAGGCCATGCCTGGAGCCTCCTTCACCTACCGTTCCCCTTTGAACACAGGTGAGACCTCGCCCTGCCCGGGGCCTCATCCGGCACCCAGAGCCCCCGATCACTGCCCCTCTCTTCTCAGAGCTGTCCCTGATGATCCAGGAGCAAGGGGACGGATACACCACCATAGGCCAGAGCCATGCACGGATGCTGCTGGACTGGGCTGTGGCAACCGCAGCCAGGGACTCAGGTAACGGCGGGGATCCGGAGGGGACTCCCGTGGGAAAGGGGAGGAGGAGCTGGGATGTGGCAAGGGTTGAGGTTCTAAATATGCAACACCTGGAAACTGACCTATTGCCAGGGATCCCAGGCATCATGGCATCCTGGAGGGCCTGAATAGACATCCTGGGAGGGAGGATGAGGCGTGGGAGGAGGAAGGGCAGAAGGTAGTAGCCGGCCTGTCTACCCCCCAGACCCCACCGTGATGGGCATCCTCTCCAGCTGGAAAATGAAGGAATTGCTGGCCAACGCCTCCTTGGAGTTGGACCCCGAGACGAAAGCTAAGCTAAAAGATCTCCACCAAGGTCCTGTCCGTGGCGCCCAGTACAAGCTCCTCTCAGCCGTCAACTTGGTCTTTCTGAGCAACACAAACACCGAGCACCTTGACTCCCCGGTCACCTTTGCCTTCTCCCACCCTGTGAGTCCTCTGGTGGGGAGGAATCAGTCCTACTGCTCACTCCTTAGCCAGGGTCACAGGGGTTCCTCTGCAGCCTTCATTTCCCTACTCTGCTTCTTCCTCAAACGGACCTCAGGGCCTTTGCATTTGCTGTGCCCTCTGTGTGAGACACACTGTCTCCCATGTGACTCAGTCCTTTACCTGGTTCCAGTCTTTGTTCAAATGTCACCTCTTCTTTTAGGTCTTCCTTGACCTCATTTAAAATTACAGTCTGTAATCATGCCCCACCTTCCCCTATGCTGTTTCTCTTTTTAAAAGCTCTTACTATCTTCTAACACACCATCTAGTTTCCTTATCGGGTTCATTATTTACATCGGTCTCCCCCACTGGCATGCCGAGCCCAAAAGGGCAGGGACTTGTGTCAGCCCTGTTCATTGTGTGCGAGACCAGGGGACACAGCAAAGGAGGCGCTCAGTAAATACCTGTCAAATGAAAAACAGCCCTCCTCGGGCTCAACCAAGCCCAGGACCCAAGAGTGGGCTCCAGGCTAACCTCTCCAACCATTCCCGCCTGCCTGCAGATGGAGACGCCCGGACCGCGCCAGGGGCTGGTGTGTGCATTCTGGAAGAGTGACGACAGGGGCGGAGGGCACTGGAACACCACGGGCTGCTGGACCCGGGGCACCAGTAATGACAGCACCACGTGCCAGTGCAGCCACCTGAGCAGCTTTGCCGTCCTCATGGCCCACTATGACATAGAGGTGAGCAGCCCTCAAAAGCCCACAGGTGGCAAGCCTGGCTTAGGTGAGACAGACAGCTGGTTCTGTATGGTCACACAGCCCCAGTGGTCCCACCCCATGCCCCCCAGCCCCTTCCCTGGGACCCAGCAACTGCTCTGGCTAGCGCCCCTCTGACTGTCCATCTGGAACCGGTGGTTAAATAATCGTTAAAAGCTCCAAAGGGAGTACAACGCTCTATACGTGGCTTCAGAGATACACAGAGAAGCTGGGCCACGCATTTAATTGAAATGGGCCACGCAGAGTATGGAAGGCTCTGGTCCAAGCCAAAAGCCCAGGAAGGACAAAAAGGCGGGTTTCAACGAGTTGATAGAGGTGGCCACGTGTAGGAGGCGTAGAACTTGAGATGAGCGAGGAGGGTCAGAGAGGTGGGACCATCAGTGTTAGAAACAAGAATGTGGCCTTGAGGCTTAGCGCGGGGAGGCCCATCAGGAGGAACTGGGATCCCTGGTGCATCCGTGGTTGTGTGCGTGCATTGCGCGGGGTGGTGGGTGTTTAGGAAGAGACACAAAGCAAGCCTGTTCAAGCGTTGAAGGCAGGGGATGTGGGGGGAGGCGAGTGCATGATCTCCAGAGACCTGGAGGGCAGGCCCCTGATGGGTCCGGGTGGTGGGGCCCGCAAGGAGGGCAGGAAGGGCTCAGGGCGCTGACCGAGCCCCACGCACCCCATCCTGCATCTAGGACCCGAGGCTGGCCCTGATCACCAAGGTGGGGCTAGCGCTGTCGCTAGTCTGCCTGCTGCTATGCATTCTCACCTTCCTGCTGGTGCGGCCCATCCAGGGCTCGCGCACCACCGTGCACCTGCATCTCTGCATCTGCCTCTTCGTGGGCTCCGCCATCTTCCTGGCGGGCATCGAGAACGAAGGCGGCCAGGTGAGGTCCGGGGCGGTGGGAACGTCTCACCTCCACCAGAACCCCAGGCCGGCGGGGCCCGGGAGGGGGAGAGCCCCGTCCAGTCCCGGGGCTGGGTGGCCACCGCCCGCTCCGCCCGCGCGAGGTCCTCGGCACAACAGAGCTGTGGCCGTTCGTCCCCGCCCGCCCCGAGGGCCCTGGCGGGGCGCGGCTCCGCCCCGTACTGACGTCGCCCCGCCCCCGCCCCCGCCCCGCAGGTGGGGCTGCGCTGCCGCCTGGTGGCCGGACTGTTGCACTACTGCTTCCTGGCCGCTTTCTGCTGGATGAGCCTCGAGGGACTGGAGCTCTACTTCCTGGTGGTGCGCGTGTTCCGCGGCCAGGGCCTGAACAAGTGCTGGCTCTACCTGATCGGCTATGGGGTGCCCCTGCTCATCGTGGCCATCTCGGCGGCCGTCAGACACGAGCGCTACGGCCGCTCCCTCTAGTGAGTGCAGCGGAGCGGTCCGATGGGAGGGCAGGGGACCACGGTCCTGGCCAGTGTCCTTCCCCTCTGGGGAGCTGACATGACCCTCCCTTTCCACCCAGTTGCTGGTTGGACCCAAAAGATGGCTTCCTCTGGAGCTTCCTGGGACCTGTGATCTTCATCGTTCTGGTAGCTGCCCCCACCCCACACCTGAGGAGAGCAGCCACACTGGGCC